CGGAGGATGTATATATTGAGCAGAATCTATCTTTGTCTTGGATAAGGGGACGCACCGTGCGCCAATGACGTGATGTTGACGCTGTCACTCGGTCAGATAATCCTTTGAGTTTTTATAAAGCAAGCGTCTCAACAAAGACTTTTTACGTGCTTATGCTCAATGCTCATTGGTATGTATTAATGAGACCAAGCAATCCTTGCTCAATTATGATAATGATCTCTGCTTTAATGCTTACGGCCTTCTATAACTATTGTCCTGATTTGCCTATCTTTTCGAAGCCTCCATTTTAGTAATAGTCGTTAGGCGACCCTCACGTAGCTCACAAAGCAATGCTTACTCTCAAGGGGGTCGTTCACATAATACGTAACCACTTTTAGGTCACATCGCAGGGCTGGAGGTTCCTTTTTAGGGTTTGTCCGAGCTTCCTTTAGTTACATTATTTAATAGTTTTGTCTCTGTCCGCCCAAATTGAGTTGGCTATAAAATGCGTTTACATATCATATTCCTAGGTCACGCGATGCAAGCTACATGATAAAATCCCGACAATTGACAATGAGTAGCATTAATTCTGATGAAAAAAAAATACTCATAGTTGATAATCTAAACTCTCTTATCTCTATTTTATCGTTACATTAAAACTGCCACTGTGCTGGTACTATGCTTTTCAAAATTTATACAAGTATAAGTACATAATGGAAGACATTGATTTACTTCAACGTCCGGCCAAAAAGGTTTTTTTTTTTTTTTTTTTTTTTTTCCCCGAGTATATAGTCCGAGTATATTCATTTGCCAGCGAGCAAACTTTACTATCATTTGAATTGCTGATATGAGCGGAATAAAAATGCTGTATTTTTCAGTCTTTCATTCTTCTGACACGAATATTCGAATAACTTAGATGATGATTTGTGTTATCCGACCTATCACGGCATGCTGGAATATCCTTCCTTATCTTCTAATGTTCTTGGTGGTGGAAAATGGTGTTACATGCACAGGTACGTAAACATAAAACGTTTTAAGTGGTGGCAATGATACTATATTGCAGAGCTTCAATCTGAAATTAAGTTCCGCAGCTCTTAAATAATTCGTATTAATAATTGAAGTATTTTCAGAAAAAGTTGAACCCGCATCAGTTTCCCAAAGCAGCACTCTGACTTGGGAAGGTAAGGCATATAAGGCGGAATATGCTACTGACGGTGATCTGGAAACATTGTCACACACTCAGTATGTATTCAACACTGACTTGTGGTTCAAAATGAAGTTTGATGAAGTCTTCTGCTTCTTTGAAGTGGTGATCATCCAATCCCATCTCGACAGGGGCGCTACTCGTATGCAGGATACGAAAGTATTTGTAGTCAACGCCGATACAGGAATTGAGAATCTCTGCGGAGTTCTCAAAATCAGTTTTGTTTTGACTATAAAGGGCCAAACGTATAGAATTCCTTGTCATCTGAAGTGTGGAAATGAAGTGAAGCTGACGGTGAGACATGACCAAGGGGGCTACAAAAAGGAAGCGTGTATTCACATGACAGAAATTATGGCATTTGGTGCAGGTAATTTATTATAGTATTATAGTTTTTACTTAGATTTCGCTTTAGATGTATAATATCACTGAAACTGAAAGGTTATGTGCAATGTCATTAAGCTCCTATAACTATCACTGCAAATAAAACGCTCAGAAAAGCTCAATCAGATCTCAAAACCATTTTTATCTGAACGCGTCCACGGTGCGCGAATTCGATTACACATCATATAATTCAACCAAATACTTAACATAGATATCTCGACAAATAATCATGTCGCAATATAGATTAGTAGATTTAGCGGGAGGACGGGAGGGGGGGGCGGGAGACCCCAATCTGATAAAGCCCTGTACTCTGTAGATAGAGCCCTGAAACTGAAAGCAATGGAGTGTAATATAAATGTGATATAATGGTTATCTTTAGTCAAGGTCTCATATCTCTTCGATCTTGGCATCAAGTGATCAACATGTCTCCGTGCCTCCATTTTGAGGCGCGGTCTCAACCATTGCTCATGGGGACTCGTGTGACTGGGGTAGCAAGTGCATATTAATGGGGTATAAACACTTATTATTGCTCCCAAGTAGTTACATTAGTGATTTTGAGACAATTGATATACACTCACAGCATTACAGCTGTTTGATGGGAAATATCAAAATAAATGAGAATAACAAAGAGGAAATTTTAAAACAATCTGCACAAGACAGTCAAACTATGTATATTATTCAAAATTGAACTGAATACTGTAATTTCAATGGAAGTTCCTTAAACCTTTCTTAGAGGTGAAAGAAAATTTATACCTATGGTCCTCAACCACTTGAACAAGTTTTTTAAAGACGATTCAGTTCTAGTGATCCTTGTATTATAATTGGTCATCAGGGCGATAGCTCGTTCTGCTGAATCGTTCGTCGACGATATGTTGTTTAACGCCGATTTTACTTTATGATAGTTGTTGGAAGAGAGCGGTAATTCGTCCAACTACTACAACTATCATGATAATTACTATATAGTTGTAGTTGTACTTGTAGTTGTAGTTGGACACAATACTGCTCTATAGCAGGGTATAAGAAAAGTTAATATTATTATTGATATATTATTTATTAACTTTAACGTTCGGTAAGGAAATGGTATTGTTTATGACGCAGGAAGCTGGAAAGTATATTTATAGATTTATAAGCGATAATCTATTAAATTGCACTGTTTCAACTCTCTAAGCGATTAATGTAACCTGCCACACGGAGATGCCCCCAGGCCAGTATCGCAGGCCTATATCTCGAGACTTAAAGATCACACTTTCTTCAATCTTTTCACGCAGTTGTATGGCCAGGAGACGGATAATCGGTGAAATTTGGGCCAATTTTAAGCAGCCGAACTCGAGATATCCCTTGAAACCCGAAAACCCTATCCAAAGGGGCAATTTTGGTGGTCACAAAGGCGCATATCTCGAGACTCAAAAGTCCCACTTTCTTCAAACTTTTCACATCGCTGTATGGCCAGGACACGGATAATCGGTGAGATTTTAAGCAAATTTTAAGCAGCCGAACTTATCACCCGTTAAGTTTATGAGGTATTTTTTCGGGTTGGGGAATTTTAATTAATTTCCTGAGTTTGAAATCTACATGAATTTTGCACTATCGGAATGGAAATCGATAGAATTGAGGATAGATCGAGTATGAATATATCTGGTCGATTGATTGTGCACTGTGAAGTTATATTGTGGTAAAGTCGCGAGAGGGCAAAAATGCCACCCACTGTTCCAAATACTGTTAACAGTATATTTGGAACAGTAGGTGGCATTTTACTTGTCACTTTACTTGCCACGGTCCACGTTAGCCTGGCTATATTTACAGCCGCTTTGACAATCTTTAATTTTATTTGTATTGTTAATAAAAGCGGGATAAAATACTGTATTTCATTTCATTTGTAAGTAAAACGCAGCACATTCAGTAAAATTTGAAAAAAATATGATCAACCAAAAAATGTACATAAACTTAATTTATTATTCACTGTAATTGGTGATAGAACTATCATTATATCAGTTTATGGTTTATACACGAGTACAGTATCTGAATAACTCGACAAATGCAAATTGCAATGTTATAAGTTATACGAATGTCACACTGGTTCTCTTAATAAGCTTATATAAAATCATAACAGAACATCGAAAACTGGTAGCAGAATTGAGAGAGAAAGCTCGAGAAACGCCAAACGAACATCATTTTATCAGGAAAGGTGCAGTTTGCAGTCAAGCAAAATCAGTAGAAGATAAGGACACTGTCTCGACAAGTTCAGCAATCAAAAGTAGCAGTGCAGGAGTAACTAAGAAAAAGGAAAAGAAACCCAGACCACTTTTACCGCATCATATAGCGTGTAATCGACGACCACCACTAGGATACGTGTCACCAGTCACAACTGACTCATCAGATTATGATGGATAGACAATTAAAATGTTGGTCCCCCCTTGTTCAAATTTGTTATTATAACTGGGTTGATTTCTGAGTGATAACGCTGCTTATCTATTAACAGCAACACATTTTCTGGATTACATGACCGATAAGAAGTTTGTTAAGTAGATACATACAACGGTTTTAATATTATTTCATGACACATTATAGGATTGAATTAATATTGTTATTAAAATGCTCATTGTAGCCATATCTTTAGATTTTCATCATCATCATCATAAAATCATAAACATCAGGATACTACGCTTTCCACCGTGAAACAAAGCTCCAATTAATTCAGTTTATTGCTTGCACCCTTCTGGAGCGGGGGGGGGGGGGGGGCGTCTGGAGTTCTCAACCTCAGGCATTGTAGTTCTCAGAGTTAATTAAGTATAAGTTATATAACTCAAGCTCAGGTTAAACACGGAAAAAGAGCATTAAAAAAGTGTTCAAATAAAGTCGTTGCACTCATTTTGTATCTTCTTTCAAAATCAAGTTCTACGTAAAATCCACTCTACTCTCGTTTTTCCAGTACTAGTAGTTAGTATACTCATGAATATAAAAATATTAATAGGGGTAGACTAAAGACGGTTCTTAATATTCACTAGAAAAAATAGTCACAGTTAAAATCAAACCTGAATAGGATTTATTAATCGGTTGAAAACGATTCGACATTTTACCATCCCTTGACATGTTATTTTGTCAGTCCAAGGATCGACCGGGAACGCTTTTTTGGCCGGGCCCGTGACCGGGACTGGAAAAAGTGCCGGAAATACGACCAGGATCGTAGATAACAACAATTTTACTTTCAATATTCTTTAATCCTATAATGTAGTTGTACTATACTATAGTGTAACCCGTGCCTACGGCCGGGACTTCACTATCGCAGTGGAAATGCAAAAGTATTCTTGATTAAGTCGCTCGGAAATTACACGCGCACAGACAGTTACACACATTCTGAGATTATTGTTAATAGCTCTGAAAAAATCGTTCATTTGTGCAAACTTTTTTTGATAATTCAACAAGATTAGCAAAAAAAACCTGTCAAAATTCGGCATTTTAGCCGGGACCGGGATTCCCGGTCCCGGCCGATTTTTGACCGGGACCGGGATTAAGCCGGGATCCCGGTCGAACCTTGTTATTGTCACTGACAAATTTTACAAAAACAAGAATAACCAGCTCATGTTACCCACTCCATTTATTAACCTTATCTAAAAATAGTTGAATATTTCATAATTTACAGAGAGTCCAATTAAATCTATCAATCAAAAACGTTCTTCTTGTGTAACATCTGCAGAGTGCTTATGCTTATTTTTGTGCCTAAAAAGTACAAATATAAACCTCATTACACAGTCAATGTAAAAGCAAACACACATTCTGTGTAGATTGTGTAGAATGTGTAGAATGTGTAGAATGTGTAGAATGTGTAGAATGTGTAGAATGTGTAGAATGTGTATAACAAGGAAGGGTTATTTCTGGCTCCGTCTAAGGATAGCCTCTCTGGCTCGCATAAAAGACATTATATCGTTATCTACTCCGGCATCCCCCGTCAAGGCTCCGTTTTTAACGGTCGATTGAGATACTGACCACGCTGAAAATATATACCTTTTGTTGTACTTATGTTTTGGTTGGGATCCAATGAAATTTAAAATCTTTAAAAAGGAGAATCGAGTTTTTAGATTAGAAATATAGACTAGTAAAATGGAGGTATTTATCATAAGTGTATTTGAGACACATGTGTATTTGAGACACATGTGTACACAGGATTACACAGGATTTACACAGGATTAAAATTAAATTATAGATCCATTATCATGGACCGTCATAATTGTACAGAGATTAATGAAAACAATCATCTTTGCTTGAAGTCAAGGCCAGGGTTATTCTTAAATCTTAATTATGACTAATTCGCGAGGTTCTCACCAAATTGATAGTAAAATTGTTTAAGTTTCGTGCATTTGAATTACGCTGACGCATATCTTCGGTGAAGCTATTTCGCTCTTCGGAGCAGCGAAGGAAATAAGTGCACACACAGTTGACAGCATAGGAGCGCCTTTCTTGAAATTGAATATACTGTGGAGTGTGGGGTGTTTGGTTGAATATCAAGTGAGCGGTGGCAGTGAATATGGAGGCTCTGGTGATTTTGAGGAATTACAGTTGAGTAAGGAGACAAAATTTCCATGAGATGATCTTTGAGATTTGTTTCATTGATATTGCTGGAGTCGGTGATTTCATTGCTTATTTCAATGATTGGCATTTGAGAAAGATTTTTGACTAATTTCGACCTCTGTTTTGAATACAAGTCACATATGTAAAGTACATGTAATTGATACACTGTGTAATTGAGACACATGTGTAATGTGTATTTGAAATTGAAGTTAAACTCACATTTCTGATCATTACTTCTAATGCTAGGTACAGGATTTTTAGTGTTGCTGTTGTTGCTTAGAACTGAGTTGTGATTACTAAGATAACTGCTCTCTTTTGACATTGGCGGAGACGGGAGGTCAGTGTTAGGGGTTGGGTTTCCCGATGATCTTACTTCATCTGAAAAAGCAAATTTAGTCAACATTAGCTCAACGATGTCTTAAAGTTCGTCTACGATTTACAAGATTAACACAGTTTTCCCACATACCAGACACATATCAGACACATACCAGACACATACCAGTCACATACCAGACACATACCAGACACATACCAGACACATACCAGTCACATACCAGTAAGAGAAGCCAGATGTTTAGGAGACGGAGTTTTCCAAGCAGTTCTACCCTGCTGAGTGCCTGCTGCTTGTTCCACGTACCACAGCTCAAAGTCGCGCTGTAAGCGGACACGCTGCTGCTCTAGTAGATGCTGCAGGTGCTCGATACCTGTCTTTAGTTCTCTCAGTCGGGCAAACCTTTGTTTGTAGCTGTGAGGGCGAGAAGTTTCTTTAATATTGATTGGTGTTTTATCACAAAATTTAAGAGAAATCAACTGCTCTTTTGAGATTTCGATACCGCAATTTACCTAAGTTAACCTAGCAGATGCTCACCAATGTTAAATTTGCTTATGTGACATGAAGAAAACTAAAATATATAGATATACAATTGTATGTATATATAATTTTATTTCTAAACATTTAAAAATACGGTATATGCTTTATCTTCACCAACCTCTCTTTCTCAGACTCTATCAGTTTCTTCAATTCCTCTTCTTTGGGATCGAATTCAGCAACATCAGAGTGTACCAATCCCTGTACTGCCATGGCAATACGGCGCTGTTCTATCGAACTCTTTAACGAGTCTGGAGGAGGTATAGTTATTAAAACATCACCATGGCAATACATGTAGTTACTGCAGTAGCACGAACATATACCACATGATGTGGTCTACAATCTACATCAAACAGTTTTTTAAAGAACAACGTCCAGCCCACTCTTACGTCAAAATACTCACTGATTTTTTCCCGGGATTTGTTAACAAGCCCGCCGATTTGTTTTGCTTCCTTCATCTTAGTCTTTAGCTCGGACTTGTTCTGCTCGATAGCTGAGTTGTTCTTGTAGTCCCTTCTGAATATGTCAAACGCTTCCTGGCGTCCCTTAAACAAGCAAAAAGCTAGACCATTTGAAATATTAATTTACAACCGTTACAATATGTTCTAATTAGTGAATACTGTTTATCAAATACCAGATTGTAAGAAACAACCATAATTTTAAGTTTGAACTAACTTTTGACAGTGTTTTAACATTCCTCTGTGTCTGATGATGAGGTTTTACCGGCGGAGGAGAGATAGGCTTCTCAACACCTCCGCCTCCTCCTCCTCCTTTTATCTTAGCTTTTTCTTTCTTCAACAGGTTAACCAGGATATTTATCTCTGTGTCCCTCTGAGCGAGGAGCTCTTTTAGCTTGTTCAGTTCTTTGTCCACCTGACAAGTGCAGTGGTGAGGATTTATAAACATGCGAGGGACGGAACACTAGATGATATAATGTTAACGTGAAACTTATTTCGCCTTTTTAGGTTAGTATTTTGCTCGCACACTAAATTATTTTAAAAATAGTGACATTTTAATTTAGTGATGCACATTTCTTTATTTAAAGCAGCTCACTGTTGACTTTCGGTAACACGACATCTGTCCGACAGCGACATCTGGAGATTACATTTATTTATTTAAGTCACGTGGTTCAGTTCACTGTTGAAGCTATCTTACTATCTAGAAATTTTCAAGAAAATCGTATCGTTGGATCTCCAGATATATGCCTTGGAACCACTGCAAACCACCGAATTGGAGATATATTTTTGTGTTTACGGTGATATCTCAAATTTGGCACATAGAAACTCGCTCAAACTTACACAGATTATCCGTCCTATAATAACCACCATACTTTATGGAAAGTTTCAAGAAAATCATACGGTAGGATCTGATATAAACTATTGTCCGAATAACCTATTTTCTGAGTCGGACAGATGTCGCTGTCGGACAGATGTCGCCCCAATCAAAGAAATGTGTTACGATTAAGTAAAACAGTAGTAAATTGAGGGAGTCAATCGAATTGCTGACTGATGAAAACTGCTGCTGAAATGACGTCTTAACGCGTGAACCAGAAAATATAAACAAACCCCAGCTGACATCTAATTAAATGGTGATTTCGTTTCAAACCTGTTCGGGTAGTATTTGCGAAGTTGCCGAAGTAACAGTGCGATTAGAAGCAGGTCGCGAGTTTGCAGCCTGCTTCAGCAGATGTTTGAAGTACTGATAACAAAAGTGAATCTTCCTGACATCTGCGTCTATATCCAGCCGCTCTTCCGGATCAGTGCACTCTATGTATTTGTTAACACGTTCTCGGCACCTGTTGGGAAAGTGTGGTAACTGGTATTTGAGTGCTTTATTAGCCGTTCTATTATTGAGAATGAAAAGAATATCAGGCGTTTTTTAAACAAATTTTGGTTATCAATAACAAAATTAAGATGGAATAGGGAACTGGGAAGAGTTTCTCCATAGGTACGATGAATGGTTTGTTGTTACGAATGGGGTTGCTAAATAACAAGCGTGGGTTTGAATCACACGCGATGCGCGCTAACGCGCATTTATTTTCGACACACACAGTGATAAAATTAAAACTTTATTTATAACAAAATCGTTCAGCAAAAACATTTAAAATGGCGCGGACGCGATGCTCTGTTTCCAATCTCAGGTTAACGTGAGAAATTAGAACTTACATTAAAAGTTCCTCGTCACTCAAGGGGTCAGTAGAAACTTCCCTCCCGGCTAAAGCAATGTCGTCTCGTAAGTTTTGTATTTCCTTCTTCAGTCGAGTTACAACTAACTTGGGATCCACTTCTTCATTGAGTACAGCATCGTTTTTAATAAGCGCCACACGCTGAGCAAACCTACACGTCGATATTGACTCCTAAACAGTGTTAAATGTCATTTCTTCATAATTTCATACCAGCAGTGAAGCACTTAGCACAAATTTCCCAAGAATTACCAACAAGGAACTTTAAACATCCCCGTACAGGTCTAACTCACATCAATATTTTTCTTTTCCAGGGACACTGTAGCCACCATAGTTGTAAGGCAATTACCACCTAAACTGTCACGTAACATACTTGTCATCATAGAGTTACGGTAAGGTATGTGGGTTCTCGACCTCTCACCTAGTGCTGTGATCACCTAATAAATTGATAAATTATTAACTTTTATTATTAAATCGTCCAAAATGTTGGAAATGATATTGGTAAGTGTTACCTTCTATCATTTAGTACCAACAGATTGTCGAAATTTAATGTCTGAACATAAAAAATGATTTGCTTATACTAACTTATGCGTATGACTTAACTGCCTGACACATAATGTGATAGCTTTGTGTATGACTATATATAGAAATTCTATGACTATGACATAATCATAATAATGCTGAACACGAAAATAAAATGCTGAAATTATACAAAATTATGGCTCCAATAAGATTTAAGTGAATTTTGTTAAGAGTAAATTATTTAAGAAAGTTTACAAAGTATACAAATTGAAAAGGACGTGAAGTTAGATAGCTAAAGACTTTTAAGGATTGTACTCTAAAGATAGATTGTACTCTGTTTCCTGTACATGTATATAATAATAAATGTATTTTGAACAGTGTGGGGTTTAAAAAGCTTTCTTAACTACTCAAGACACGCGGATTCCTGACATGTGTATTTTCCGAAAATACAACCTTTTTACACCGTTGTCTAAAAGTTAACCAAAATTATGATATTGAAGCGAAATGCGATGTTGCTGATGAGTGATGAACTTAATCATCAAGTAATGACTAACCAGTTCTAAGAAGTGCAGAGATATGTTGATGTATTTGGCTTCGCTGAGTATTGTCCCAGAAACACCGGTCTTTGATACACGCTCAGAACTGAGGATACGAGTTACTCGTTCTTATGTATAATCAAACTCTATCAAAATATGGTAATTAATCTAGTAAGCGAAATTGTAACATTCATACTTTCATTGTGTTAATCTCCTTTTCCACGCCTCTCTTATTTTCCATCCCTCCCTCCCCCTGCATAACATTTTCATTTCAAAACAGGTAATTCTTTAGAAATATTACCCGGCTAAATCAACAAGATGGAGTTTTCCGCGCCGTATTGTAGGAGAATCCTCACTCTTACAACTAATATAGATGGTGAATATACAGTGGGACCGAGTGGAAGCCATGTTCATTGGTGTTTCTGCCGTCATTCGGTTAGTATCGCCCATAAAAAGTAGATTCAGAGCTGAAACATGTAACTTTAGATGAGATGTTCAAACATGAGAACTTTAGAACGAATTATACCAGTTATTATGCATTCAAATACGCTCGCAACAAATTTTTCTTGATTAAGTCGAGTAAAGAATATACTTGTTTAAAACTAATTATCTAACCTTATAAATACCAAATAGGTAAGTCGATAAAAAGGTTATTCAATAAAAATGAGCGGAGACAACGGTCTATAAAATAGGTAGTCTATATTCGAGCATTTTATTTAGAATTAAAACAAGTTTTTCATAATATAATGGAACCAGGGTGTGGAATGGCTGCGACTGGTTTAGTAAAATTATTAAGTCTTATGAATGAAGCAAGTAGCAACATTTTTCAATTTATCCTATATTTTAGATTTGGTAATTTTCTAGCGGATATAAGCCTTACTCCTGCAAATATTTATCACATACCATCCTCCTCCGAGTTTGCTTGATGTATTGTCAGGTTACGGGTGTGGAAGTTACCTTCAGCATCTTCTTGTAGCCGCACCCTCGGCAAATCTGTAAATATAAAGACCTGGTTAATATCTATTTGCCAGGTGGCAAGTAACAAGTTGTAAGTGACCTTGTAAAGTAGAGTTTCCACGTTAAAAAGGAGTTCAGAAAAGTGGCTCTTTCTGTTATGGAGATGATTCAGGAGCTCAAACTTCTTCTGTTCGTGGAGTTTCATGTTGTTTCAGTGTGACCAGGTCGAGAAAACCGTACAGATCAGCATAAAGCAGCAGACAGTCATTTAAGCAACCGATACGTTTGGAGACCCTAGTATCGTCAGCAAAGAAGCTTACCCTAGAAAAGGCAACAGCTAGCTCTAGATCGTTAATAAACAAAATGAACAATAGTGGTCCTAACACACTTCCCTGAGGGACACCGCTTAGAACCCTGGCACTGTCCGAATGAACACCGTTTAGGACTACAATTTGTTCACGGTCAGAGAGAAATGACTGGATCCAACTTAGAAGTTTGCCCTGAAATCCGTACCTCTTTAACTTTAACAAAAGAAGGTCCAGGTCGACTTTGTCGAAAGCCTTGGCGAAGTCAAGGTAAATAGAGTCTGTGTCTTTCCCCTGAGTAAACCCTTCAAAGATGTCGTCAAAGTGATCGAGCATTTGGGTCAAGCAGCCGTGTTGTTTGTCAGATAACAAATTGTTGGTTTCGAGATGCTGAACCATGTGTTTCCTAACCACTCTTTTATAGACTTTGACTACATGTGAGGTCAGAGTAACCGGTCTGAAGTTAGCAGCATCACACCTACTACCTTTCTTGAAAAGCGGTGAGACATATCCAGTCCTGTAGAAATTATTATGACATCATGTTTTACTGTTTTGATGCCCTACCTGCCCCTTAGATACAATTCTCGTTACAGACTTATTGAAACTAGAAACACTGAGATAATAGACATTATTAAACATTATTCACATGTTTTGTTCTATATTATGTGCATAATAACATACTTTATGATTTTGTCTTATAAATCTCAGGAGTTCTTTTGAGTACATAAATTCTCGCGTTAACCCGTTAATTACTGCAGCATGATTAAATGTAAATATTATTTATGTTAAGCGCAAGTTACAAGAAAGCAAAATACCTTCTAATCGTGTGACTTCCTTAGCAGGATCCAGTAAGTCGTACCCACTCTCGTTGTAAATCTCCAGGTAGGAAATGTGCATCGTGTACTGACAGTTAGGGTTCTGAAATGGGTAAACATGGTCACGTGTTTAATAACTTTGTGACTACAGGGACTACAGTGACTAAAGTGACTACAGTGACTACAGTGACTAAAGTGAATCCGGGTCTATCGGGCGGGGGATGAAAAGAGAGGCACGGTATAGAGAGGTTTTACTGTATATTATATAATACGTTGACTTACTGACTTTGACTTAAGGCGGCTTCAGCGTCCGAGTATTGATGCGCTGTCTCCATAAAACTCTATCCGCCATAAGTCCGCCCATTTCCCCAGTGTCGTTGAGACCCGTGTCAGCTCGTAGGCTATCAACATAGGTCATGGCTGGTCTCCCCCTACTCCGCACCCCATGAGTTGGTTCACAGAGTAGCAAGCGGTTTGCGACTAGTTCTGGGTACCGGTGGATATGGCCTGCTAGTCGCATCCTGCGCTCTTGGATCTTCATGGTTGCTCTCGGTAGGTTGCCATAGACTTCTTTGTTGGTTTTTCGCTGCTTCCAATCCACATTAAGTGCCATCCTTAGCATTCTAGTGTAGCAGCCATCAATGCGTTTCTTCAATTGCTCTGTCAACGTCCACGTCTCAGAACCATAAAGAAGTATTGACTCCACAGTAGCAACAAATAGACGGATCTTTAGTCCTCTTCTAAGGTCAGACTTCCACATCTTTTTTAGCTTGTGGCAGGCTGCCCAAGCCTTAGCTTTTCTGACCCGCAGGTCCCTCTCTGTTGTTGCTATCCAAGCTCCAAGGTAAACAAAGTCTGTCACCTTTTCCAGCTGGTTTCCAGAACAGCTATTAAGACTGCTCGCCTCCTCTGTCATGTTCAGTGTCATGAACTTAGTTTTAGTGCCGTTCATGGCTAGCCCAACAGTCAGTGCTGCTTTTTCAAGCCTGTCCAGGAGTAATTTTGCCACTTCAATGGTATCAGTGATAAGGGCAACATCATCTGCAAACTCGACGTCTGCGATCTTCTCGGCACCAATCCTCCTACTCCGTGCAGGCCTGAGAGTGAACCCAGAGTCCGAGTCATCATCGTCTATAGTCACTGTCATGATATAGTCAATCACGATAATGAACAAGTACGGGGCAAGATTGTCTCCTTGCAGTACTCCAGCCAGGATATCAAAAATTTCTGTTATACCATCAGCTGTAACTACTTTAGCCTTTGTGCTCGTATAGATACCCTCAATGAGCCGCACTATGGCTTCTGGTATGCCATATGCTTTCAATATCTTCATGAGCAAACCTCTATGCACACTATCGAACGCCTTTTTGAAATCAATGAAAACCATGGTGGCCTTAAGATTTTTGGCTCTAGCACCCTCCATAATTCTTCGTAGAGCAAGGATGTGCGATGTTGTAGAGCGCCCAGGTCTAAAGCCATTCTGGTTGTCCCTTAAAACTTCCTCAAGACTTGGCTTCATCCTGTTCAGCAACATTTTGTTCAGAGTTTTACTGACTATCGATGTCGGAGATATTCCTCTGTAGTTGTCGGTCTTAGTGAGGTCCCCTTTCTTTGGCACAGGAACAATATTGCTGAGCTTCCATTGATCGGGCATGAGACCATCACATAATGCATCGTTGCAGAACTTCAGGATGACGTCATCGATGTCCACCCTCTTCATCACTTCAGGTGAGATACCATCATCACCATAAGCTTTGCCTTCTACTATCTGCTTTTTGGCAAGACGTAGTTCCTCAATGGTGAACGGGCCATCCTCTATATTCAGTGGAGGGTGTATATTCCTGATCGGAATGCTATTGTCAGGGACTGTGGGTGGCGTTCCAAGTAACCCAGAGAAGTGCTTCCTCCAGTTCTCAAGACGTTCTGTTAAGCTGCCCCCTTCCACGAGTCCACAGCTGGGATTTGTCCTCCCTGAAATATCGTTGACAAGCTTCCAGCTTTCCTTGTTCTTACAACAATCAGCAGTATCCTCAACTTTCCTGATCTTTCCTTTCAGGATCTCCTCCTCTACCTCTTTGTAGCAGGCCTTTAACAAATCCTTTTTAGTGGCGACTTCCTCTCTCTTCTCCTCCTCTCTCTTCTCCTCACATATAATACGTTGTGAGGACTAAAAATATAAAAACAAGTGACAATCGTCAACTTTAAATTACAAAAGTATATACTATATAGTTCTATCCTTGTCTCTAGCCTGACCCTGGAGAAATGGCTCTTTATTTCTTTATTTACATTTTAACCAAAACTACCCTCCAGAACAGTTTCACCATTAAAACAGTGTCGAATATTGTGCTGGGTCAGAGTTACTCAGTCACAGATCACTATCGCAATACAGACACAGTCAAATATAACACGAGGTTTACTTAAACCAGATACAATTTGATAATCAACTCAAATTAATCATGTTCCCCAGCAAGCTCTCTGAGTAGCGAGGAGGATTATCATGCCTGACAAGCACACCAAATTTGATTATCCCTCACGTGTGATTATCATGATTTACTAAAAGTTCACAAGGGTCACTAAACACCATCAGTATCTGTATCTGCTATGACTGTTTGTTTGTGAGTTATTGCTAACACATCTTGCACATCCTTACACAACCTTACACATTCCTACGCGTTATTACTATTTTTCCTGTGAACGTGATGTCAGATAAGGGAGGTGTCAGACTGTTCAAGTCAGAGGTAATGGCGGGGACTTCTAGTCACGTGTACACGGCTGGCATGGTGAGTCAATACTCTTATTGTATCGGCTGCCTCGTAGTTTGACAAAGATACCATAGTATGAACAATATCGGTTTCCATTAGCAAGCTCAGGAAATCAGTGATCACAGTGTTTATTTATTCGCTCATTTGATGGATCTAGCAGGAAAACAAGAAGAACCTTTCCATTTTGCCACAATTATAAGCACAATTATCAGACCACTTCCTAACCCATATTCGCAGGAAGATAAAAATTACATAAAGAGAATAGTTACCCTGGAGGAGGCCCGTACACGGGAATATCTCAATATAGAGGGGGCAGTGAAGATACTACAACTATACTATACAGTCTCAGTAACTGGAGGGTCACGTGATCTGATTCCGGTTCCTAACTCGTGTGATAAGACATTCGAGCAGGAGATGATAATTGCTAGTAGCAAGGTACTGTGGTCGTCACGTTACAGATATAAGAGAAATCTCGTGCCTTCTCCTAATTAATCGACTCTAAATAAATGTCGAAATCATAGATATTATAAAGAAGATTAACAACAAATTGAAAGAATCAAGGTTGAAGGTTATGATCTAATTGCAGGTAATAGTTGAGCTGGGAGAGGAACAGCCCTCCACGCAGTCCCAATCTCAAGTGTCCCTGAAGAAGATACTGAAGAACTTTAGACTGAACCCCAGACTGAAGTTGATCCAGGATATAGTCCAACTTGGGATAACAGATAGGCATCTCAAGTATTTGATAAATGTATATTACCCGGAGTTACAGGCACTAACCTTCAATAAAAGACAAACTCAGCAACTGTTGAACCGATTGGTTTGTTTATGTTGTGTTATAATATATCGTGTTTATATTGTCTCCATTTAGACTTGAAATTCTTTGAATAATTCAAAATCTTACAGACAAGCTTGCCAATTAAAGTATAAATATTTTGTTACACTCTTACAGCTATGTGTTACAGTGTTACACTGGTACAGCTATGTGTTACAGACACAGTGTTACACTGGTACAGCTATGTGTTACAGTATTACACTGGTACAGCTATGTGTTATAGTGTAACACTGGTACAGCTATGTGTTACACTGGTACACTGGTACAGCTATGTGTTACAGTGTTACACAGCTATGTGTTACAGTGTAACAGCTATGTGTTACAGTGTTACACAGCTATGTGTTACACTGGTACACTGGTACAGCTATGTGTTACAGTGTTACACTGGTACAGCTATGTGTTACAGTGTTACACTGGTACAGCTATGTGTTACACTGGTACACTGGTACAGCTATGTGTTACAGTGTTACACAGCTATGTGTTACAGTGTTACACAGCTATGTGTTACAGTGTTACACAGCTATGTGTTACAGTGTTACACAGCTATGTGTTACAGTGTTACACTGGTACAGCTATGTGTTACAGTGTAACAGCTGTGTTACAGTGTTACACAGCTATGTGTTACACTGGTACACTGGTACAGCTATGTGTTACACTGGTACACTGGTACAGCTATGTGTTACAGTGTTACACTGGTACAGCTATGTGTTACACTGGTACACTGGTACAGCTATGTGTTACAGTGTTACACAGCTATGTGTTACAGTGTTACACTGGTACAGCTATGTGTTACAGTGTTACACAGCTATGTGTTACACTGGTACACTGGTACAGCTATGTGTTACACTGGTACACTGGTACAGCTATGTGTTACACTGGTACACTGGTACAGCTATGTGTTACAGTGTTACACAGCTATGTGTTACAGTGTTACACAGCTATGTGTTACAGTGTTACACAGCTATGTGTTACAGTGTTACACAGCTATGTGTTACAGTGTTACACTGGTACAGCTATGTGTTACACTGGTACACTGGTACAGCTATGTGTTACACTGGTACACTGGTACAGCTATGTGTTACAGTGTTACACAGCTATGTGTTACAGTGTTACACAGCTATGTGTTACACTGGTACACTGGTACAGCTATGTGTTACACTGGTACACTGGTACAGCTATGTGTTACAGTGTTACACTGGTACAGCTATGTGTTACACTGGTACACTGGTACAGCTATGTGTTACAGTGTTACACTGGTACAGCTATGTGTTACACTGGTACACTGGTACAGCTATGTGTTACACTGGTACACTGGTACAGCTATGTGTTACACTGGTACACTGGTACAGCTATGTGTTACACTGGTACACTGGTACAGCTATGTGTTACAGTGTTACACTGGTACAGCTATGTGTTACAGTGTTACACTGGTACAGCTATGTGTTACACTGGTACACTGGTACAGCTATGTGTTACAGTGTTACACAGCTATGTGTTACAGTGTAACAGCTATGTGTTACAGGTAGCAGGACAGAAAAAGAAAGCCTCCCACCCACTAGCCAGTAAGAAGGCCTTGTCAGATGCGGTTAAAGCATGCGTTGCTCTATTGTTTAGATGTGTTAACGAACCCGAACACTTATCAGCTGGGACTATCATCAACGTACTATACTGTAAACCAGGCAAGTACAGTCTCATATCATATTCGACAAACTGACATCATGTTTTGTAGATATTTTAATTGCTTAAAAAAGATTAATCTAGTCGCAGATTGTAGAATAAAAACAAACAATATTGTTAGTAAGATTTAACCCTATGCAGGTGTTATTGATAAGGTACAGCAGGTAACAGAGCCTATTAAACCTTGTCCTGTGCTTAGTAACAGACCCAAGATAACTAAAAGAACTGAGGCCCTTAGGAGGTGAGACATGATCTTCCAATACTGGTACCATGGTTACATTCTATATTATATTTCCTCAGAGTTTCATAAGACTTGAAAAATTTCAGCAAAGATGATTCGGAGACCAGAGATTAAGGCCCCAAACGGTTTCATGTTTTTCGTGCAGGGTTAAAAAGTTATACGGGCACACCAATTAGCTAATTATTAACTAATTATTAACCTATTAACTCGGAATAATAGTTACTAATCCCCGTTCTCAGATACTTCTCACAATCTCAAGGACTCCAAACAGGGGAGAGTTTAACACTCTTCCGGATTAGTTTCCTCTACCCGTACCTAACCGACCCCCCTATATTTGGCAATGCTCTCATCGAGATCTTAGCTCATTTTAGACCGAACGACAAGGGTTTGGTGGATGTGACGGAGCTGAAACCGTTCTTTGAAGCCCTGGTGGAGATCCGAGATTGTGGACTAACTGCTACAGCTGGTCCTAGCTCTTCTCACTACAGTTACATTTACTTAAAACATTTTGTATACAATATTGAATAATATAATCTAATCACTTAAAATATCTGTTTATCTTAAGCTGGTCCTAGCCCTGCTACTACTTTCAGAGAACCCCTTTAAGAAGAGAATTAAGATATGCGAGCTGATCCTAGCCCTCCCATTGGACGAACCACTGTACGAGGCATTCTCGCTGCTCTTCTCACCGATCACGGGGCACTTCTTCATGAACCTCTTCAAGACCTACGATGCTGACGACTCTGGTTCGTAGAGCGGAGCAGGGGGGGACAAGCAGAAAATAAGTTTAAATTAACAATGCTGAAATAAAGTATTTTGAGAACAACAAGGGTTGAAATAAGCCGGCCACTGCACGGTACATTTATAAGCGGAGATTGAAGAATTTGATATCAGAAAAGTGAAAATAATACATTAAATTTAATCTTAAATTGCATTTAGTAATATTAAGTACTATTTTTTAGTACTATTTGAAAAGAACTGATCCACCTCAGGAGACATGGATAGCGAGGAAGCCCTGAAGATGATAAAAGACATGCTAGAAAACTCAGTAGCTAACTCCTCCATTTACAGTACAAGACGCAAATCTCTCTCTCCTGAGCTACTGGTTAATCTACAAGCCACTGCTTGTATTGTTGTACAGGTTATTTCATTAGTTAATTAATTAGTTAATTAGTGTAAGTTATGATGGCTGTTATTTTAAGTTATGAAGAAACGCATGCTTATAAAATGCCTATTTATCATCAATAAAGACCTCAACACTAAATATTTAACGTGATCATAATTTGGTATTAAACCACTACGAAACTGTAAAATAATTGTCAGGCACTGTTCACTTGCTTTGGGAAGAATACCGTCAGTTTAACAGACCTAGGCCACTTCCTCAACATTCAGCAGAATTTTCTAAACAAGTATGTGTCAAAATCTCCTTTGTATTAAAAACTCCAGAATTCTACAAGTCAAACAAAATGTGGACATCCTATATGTTTAGAGATGTTATCTACTTGACTAAAACTGAAGTACTTAAAAGTTTTGGAAAGTAACTCTAATACTCCTCTTTTTCAGGCACATGCTCAGTACAGGAGTTAACAAGAGCAGACATCACGACCTGTTCAAACATTACGACCAGGATGATAACGGATATGTTGACGGCGAGGAAATCTCGGTGGGAGTTACACAATATAGAAATATAAAATTCTGAAATTACATTAAATAACTGTTTCGAGTTCACATGTCAACCTAGACAATAAGAATTTTTACTGCACAAGCAAAGTAAATATTGTCATAATATTGTGATGACACCGACCAAATACCACACAAAATACCACACTGCTAGCCATACCTGATACCAAATACGACACTGCTAACACACCAAATACCACACCAAATACCACACCAAATACCACACTGCTAACACACCAAATACCACATCAAATAACACACCAAATACCACACCAAATACCACACCAAATACCACACCAAATACCACACTTCTAACACACCAAATACCACACTGCTAACCATACCAAATACCACATCAAATAACACACTGCTAACACACCAAATACCACACCAAATACCACACTGCTAACCATACCAAATACCACACTGCTAACCATACCAAATACCACACCAAATACCACACCAAATACCACACCAAATACCACACCAAATACCACACAACTAATCATACCAAATACCACACCAAATACCACACCAAATACCACATTAAATACCACATTAAATACCACACTGCTAACCATACTAAATACCATACCAAATACCACACTGCTAACACACTGGTACACCAGGAGCTAGTAAGGGATATAGTGGTGACTGTTAACGGGGACGAAGCAGATGTGGTGCACGAGGAGGTTAACGTTGCTAAATCCCTCCTTATGTGGAGCCAGGTTATTTAGAGAAATTTGTAATTTTTTCTAAACTATTGTTAGCGGTTGGGTACTAGCCATAAAATCTCCTTATATACATATATGACTTGTGTCTACAGTAATAATTACAGGAGAGTAATGACAAGATTACAGAGGAGGAGGTGCAGGGGATGATTCCGCGGAGAACTGTTTGCTTCACAGCTAAAGCTAACTCTCGGTGTGAGGCAGAACACGACGAAGATTAGCTCCTTATATGGGCATCACGTGTCTCTAAGCAGCAAACTTAGCGCTGTCAATGAACTGTTCTCTTTTGATGTTGCGCTAAACTGTTCACGTGTCTTTTACTTATTATGGACAACTTGACAGAACGCTGCTCACTATGTAATACTATGTGAAACGATACTTTGATCAAATAATTATTTGATTTTAAACAAAATTTATTAATTTTATTGGTTACCTGTTCGAAAGACTGGAAGATATAGCTAATAGGTCTTGGTATTGGTTACCTGTTCGAAAGACTGGAAGATATAGCTAATAGATCTTGGTATTGGTTACCTGTTCGAAAGACTGGAAGATATAGCTAATAGATCTTGGTATTGGTTACCTGTTCGAAAGACTGGAAGATATAGCTAATAGATCTTGGTATCATCCCTCTGTCTTTGTACTTCTCGGCTCCTCCCGTGATTGTGAACGTTTTTCCTGGGCAAATTTATAATTAAATATGTGTCAAAGTTATAATTAAACAATTACAAAGTTATATGACATTGTGTAAAGATAGGCCTGATAAATTGAAAAATATATGCAAAAGCGAACAAATTCTTTGGATAATAACCTGATCCAGTTTGTCCATAAGCGAATATTGTAGCATTGTATCCACTACGTGCACTCTCTGCAGCATTTTTACACACCTTGAGCAGAGATCAGTGAACAATAATTAAATTGGAGGTTGGTGCACTATTTCATATTATATGCAATACAGATTAGTTATCATCATGTTCATTTTGCACATTTGATCATGTCATGTTCTTTAGTTGTGAGAATATTATTTCAAGTGATAATACTTTACCTTCTCAAAAATCTCATCTTGTTGAGTTTTCTCTGGAAATACTTCCTCAAATTTAAACTTGTATAAATCTTTTTTATTGTTTACATAACCCTCACTGTCTTCTTTAGGTATGTTAAATGTTACAATCCCATCATCGTCTAGTTCTGTGTGCTGTGGAAGAGAAGGAAAATGATGACTTTATTTAAGAACAAATGCCAGTTCTTAAATTAGGAGCAGTTAAATTATATCTTCAAAAAAAATTAGAAAAGATTATTTCTAACATCCGCTTCTATTTATTTATCTGTTCCAGAATTTGAAATTTAACTTTATAGTAGCAGCTGTATGTAATAAATCTATCACAAGAAGTTGTAATAAGTCACAAGACCTTTTACTTAGGTTGTGTTCTATTTAGTATCCGAAAACAGATACTTTGATGTACTTTATTGGTAAACAGTACACAACGATTTCGAACAAATACAAATACAATAAAATAAAAGCGAAGATGAAAAGTTTTAAAAACGTACCCCTTTCAGTTTTTTGGACGGTTTGGCCCTTAGGAAAATCTTTATACCCTCTTTCACCATTTTGACACAGCTGTTTAAAGATAATGCTTTTTTTTATCAATAAACTTTCAAATTGTTACACAAATACATCATTTTATTTCAAAGAAAATATCGCCGAATGACCTTACATGCCTTGACAAGTGACCGAGTGTAAACAAAATAAGGGACACCGAAACACCAGTTGACCAGTAAACTGATCATAGCAATTACATCGGGCCCTAGAAATGAGATTAAAGTAAATTTATAGATTTGGATTCTGGATAGTTGTTGAGAGGTGAACCATAATTTCCTTACACCTAATATAACGTTGAGTAACCATCATCTTGGCCAATCGGTAAAACAACAAATTTCTGCAAAGCAACAGTCTAGGCATATAATCATTGTAATAAAACAAATATATATATATATCGGGGCGGGGGCCAGGGGGGGGGGGGCCAGGGGGTACAAATCATTTTTTCCAGTTTTCGCATAATATTTTATTGAGCTACTGGAGATGAACAAGTATAATTATTTTAGTCTCTTGAATCTTGACAAAACTTTAGGGTTAGATTAGACAGGTTCCTGCTAGTAAGGGTTAATTTCTAAAACGATTTAAATCAAAATGGAAAGCGGTTCAAGACGGGAGTGATGAGGTGTAATAGTCGTGGTACAGGGTGTACCGGACCTTATGATCATGGAAGGTGGTGTCTAATAATGACTTAATTATCCACGAGAAAGAACTGATTATACGATTATGTGTTACTGACTCAGTGGGTAAATACTCCTACCCTTTTTAACTGCAGCAATGAAATCCCGGCCAAAGGCCGGGTTACACTAGTATAATGAATATTTCCCCATCAACATTGATTATTTATCAAAAACAATATCTTTTAAAAAATGAATCAAAACATTATCCTATTTCAAAAACCTTATCAAACTTCCCAGTGGAATAAAGATTTATGAAACGCTTCTTTGCCACATAAGGATGAAACCAAAGATAATCGTTATGTTTCTCTTTATTACTGACATAACTGGCTCCCTCAATTCTTACTAAAACTTCATTAGAAACATCCCAAAAAAAGCAATCATTTGTATTTCTTTTAGAAATCATATCTTTCTTAAATCCTTCTTATTTAATTTTAAAGCCTAAAACTGTCACAGAGTTCTTGACGTCCGGAGGGAGTTTGTTCCAATATGGAATAACTCGCTCCGGGAGACTTCTGGATATTCTTGATTTTAGTTAAACTTCTACTACATCTATTGCTTGAAACAAGATTCTGCCAATTCTAAACATCCCCGATCCATAATCAGTCAAACCACTTGTTACTTTAAAAGCTTCTATGAGGTCCCAACTGGTATAAACTTATCTGAGTGACTGCATAAAAATAATTTAAGGAGAGTTCTCTTAAAACTGTAAAACAATGGGGATAAATACTAAGACCTAAAAAAATCAAAACAAAATGCAGCCTCCTAATTTGTTGTTAAGCTTTCTCTCCTCCTACGATTGACTAGTGGGACCATCTTTGGCGAGTATTAGGAACTTAGACCATTAAAAATACCGTACTGTAAGTTTGCAAGGTATGTGGACTAAGTGGGTAGAGAGAACTCGACTTGAAAGTGGGTGTTGAGAATCCTCAACTAAACTAAAGATAATGACATCCAGAAGATGAGGCAGTAGAGTGACTAGTGAGTGGTAGAAGCTGAAGGAGAAGAAATATCACAAGGAGAATAATCATCTTTATGATAGTTCGCCAATAGCAATTTGTGCTAGAGAGCGGAAGACAGTGATGCTGTTATCACTATCATCTCTTAAGATAGACCATGATGGTTGGTCATTAAAGGAATGCTTAAAGAGCAGCTGCACAGTGGACAGTAGAAGAGTCTGTGATAATTGGCAGAGGCGGCTATTGAGGGCGTCCAGGCGTCTGTGGACGCCTTAAAATTATTATCTGGTGGCTGGTGCTTAAAATAGAAATAGTAATTAGTAATAGTGTTAGGAAATAACAAATCGCAATATAAAGGTCTTCATTTACTATCATGCGTTTTAATGTAAGCGCACGCATGATCTTCGTGAAATTTTGTGTTGTAGGGAGTCCAATCCTACCTCTGGACTACTCAGCCGCGCAGTTTTAACACATAGTTAATTGTAAACGTTACAAAGCACATCGTGCGCATCCCACTACAGGTAATCTCTTATGATTTGCCTCGATTTGGGGGTCCAGGACCCTTTGCAATTTGACTGCTATATGATACTGCGCGGCTGAGATCGTACACGTGTGGTGTCCTGTTTCACCCATGTTATAAGTTTTTGTTTTTGTTTGCTGTCGCCTGTAAAGTGTTACACATTACATTTACAAGGCCCTGTGTGTAATGTGGAGGGATCAGCTTGAGCCGGCTCCCAAGACCTGAGCTGTTTATTTACCCGATATTTCCCATTGATGTCCTATAAATACTACTGCTCATACTAAGTGAGGGCAAGTTAATGTGTTGCTACTTATCTTCTATTCAACTAGATTTGTTTATGTTAGCAAAACACTCTGAAGGATTTATTCTTGGGTCGAGCTGGAGATATTTATTCCAAATTAATAAAATAATAATTGTATGTATATTATATGTGATTGTTTAAAGTGAAATTTTAACCATTATAAAGTATGATTAGTCGGATATAGTACTGAGTTCAAACAGTCCCTGAAACGAAAAAGCAAACATTTGATTTTTGTTTCGGCGACTGAATCGTTGATGGGCCGGCAAATATTTGTTGTCGAGTAGTGTTGAATACTCATATTAACATGATTATTGATTTAATTTAGGAATTGTATATGACTATCTTTGACCAAGTTTAATTGTTAATGAGAATGCACCCCAGCACTGGGCGCGCGCGGCGGCTTTGATGTTAGCGGCTACAAGCTTGAAGCTAGGCAGCTGCAGAAAAGGCGCCGCGCGCGTTCACAGTTCAGCGTACGGCTTTTCGTTTTTGATTTTACAAATGACAAAACAACTTTTAATGATTATTAATGGAATTATCGGATATTTATAATTCAATATGTATTGATTCTTCTGTGGAAAATTTTACTTAAAATTGTATTTTACTTAATGGACCATTTCCGTAACCTATTTATTGTGCTCTGCTAATTGCAACACTTGAATTGATTGTGCTCCTCCGATTGTATCACTTGATTTAATTGTATGTAGGATACAAGGATACAAGGATACAAACAAGGGTATTAAACTTGATGCACTAAATAAACGTTAATGTGTATGCATTTTCCAGTAGAAACATTTAGGGATAAACTAGGATTGATTATGGCAGCAAACTAAAAAAACTAGATGCAATATTATCAGCACGTTTGAAAAGAAATGTTTTCAGAAACACTTTAAAAGAGTCCTATGTTGAGCAATTCTTAATTTCAAATGGCAGTTCATTCCATAATTTAGGGTCAACTTTCTGAAAAGATCTTTCTCCACATTGTGTATGTACCCTGGTCTGGCCTAGGTTCAGTCAAATAGATAAGATGATTATAGTTTGCAAATTTTAACATAGTACTTAAATAATCTGGTCCCATACCATTAAGACACTTATAAACAAGGAGTGATAACTTTTACTGAATTATGTTACTGATAGGCATCCAATGAAGGTCTTTCGGAGTATCTCCAGGATGATCATGTTTGTAAAGTCCTACAATAGCTTTAGCAGCAGCATTTTCAACAAGTTGAAGCTGATGGATGAGTCCATGAAGCGGGTTTAATTGAGAAAAATAAAATTTTAAGAAAAACAAAATTTGTATTTACCACAAAACAATCAATACATAATGTTATATTTTTTTTTTTGTAAAACAGAAAATGGGCCTTCGAGCAGTATTACCTGGTTTCGTCAATTACTGGTACAAGGACGGTATCCCCCCAGCAAGTACCAAGTCTGGCTTTTATTCACATAAAATATTGACAGTACACAGTATCATTGTAAAGAACGCACTCATTTTAATGCATAAATTGAAAAACTTTCCTAATCTAGTACCATTGTCTCTCAAGAAAACAATTCCCAAAAGTGCACCATTATTTAATACTAACCTGGATTCTATTCTCACTACACAATGGTCAGAAAAGTATGGTCAACACCCTTACAACAACTCAGTATTTTTTAAAGGTCCATTATTAGCAATAAACCGATATAATGTTGCAGCAACTTCCCCGCCTAGTCTATTTAACCTGAACATTTACAAAACTTGTATAAAAACTATGCTCATCGATCAGCAAAATGAAAACATCGAAGACGATTGGCCTAATTTCATGTTATATTGTATAACAGGACTAAGAAAATCAAAGCGTAACATAAACCAAAATGCCGATAATAACCTTGTCTCTACATCTTAGATTATATGCACACACTTATGCATCACTCAATAAACGTCGCATATCTCATCAATTACACTGCCAACATAGGACATTCTTTTTTATCGCCGCGATTTCAAATCAAGTTACAAATTCTACAAATTTTGAAGTGCTCAGTCTTGTTTTACTTTTCTTATCTTTACCTATTAACCATTGGAAAATAAAACTTTAAATTATAAACCTTCATTGCATACTTTACCGGTAGAATCTAAATTGAATAGTTTGAGATTTCCTTTACATTTTATATTTATGCATGTGCCCCACGGGGATGAATTTCTTATTACCATTGATATTATATATATTTTTTGAGTAAACATTGGCTGGTACCACGGGCCAGTCCCCTGACATAAATAAATTTAAATTTGAATTTCAACCATATATACAGCCCGCCGCGCACACAGCCACACATTGTTGAGAAATCCTTAGGTGTGGCTGTCATTTTTTCCTTCGAGTAGCTGACAAGACTGTTTTGGACAATGAACACTATTCAAAAGGTCTATTTTGATTGCTGTCAAAGTATCTGTCAATATATGGGGAATATGGTGTTGATATCGGTGGGACTTTGCCTCCTCTAGCTGCTAGATGAGCTCTTGCTTAAATGGCATCTTGTAGCATATCTCAAGAAATGGGATCCCTAGCGTGACAGAGGTCAGATCCTGGGAGGATGGTATTTATACTTTTATAAAAGTTTTTGAAAATGTTAAGGTTGTTTTTGAGCGGTATTGGAGCAGCATATAAAATTTTTGTGAGAACTACTCAGGTTCTAAAAACGTAACCTGTATTAAATCACTTTATTGGTCTACTTTTTTTTCGAGAAAGTAGACCAATAAAGTGATTTAATACAGGCATGGAATAATTTCTTGTCATCAGTTGCAAAACATACCTATGTGAGCGACCTCTTACATGAAAATTTACTCAATAAGTCAGGCATTCTGCCAATTTTGTACGATTTTAGTCTCATTGATCTGTGATCATTCTATGCTTAGTAAAATAATGTACCCAAAATGCTTTACAGTATTGTTCATACAAACAGCAGCTTAGTAAAAGTTGTATATTAGTACTGGTCTAGATAAAGCCTGCCTACCTGCCTACCCTGCCTAGGTCGATCCAGATAAAGTCTGGAACGAGTTTCGTGACAGCGCTTCTCTCCATTTATCTCTATCTCACTCATGAGCCATAACTTATCAGGATCCAATCCAGTATCTTCTTGTAGGACGTCCGGAAAGGTCTTATGAGGTCGTCCTCTATACCGATGGCCATATGAAGTCGTCGTGTCTTTATGGTATCTGTCAGCAGTGGAATATTTCCGTAAAGAACAGAGTTAGGTGTGTGAGATTTCCATGAGATACAGGGGAAGGGGGCCCGACTTTTTATACAATATCTTAGTTACATAGTGGCAGGGTAGTAAATACTGTGTTTCTTTTCGTTTCATTTCATTTCGTTTCTTTTCGTTTCGTTTTGTTTCGTTATCTTAAATTAATAGTTTATAAAACTTCAGTATAAAGATATAAATCTACAATCTGTTCACACAATCACACAATGTATGTATAATAAGGGAAGTTACTATTTAAATTGTCTCACAATTGTTATTATCCTAATCGTGGTTATTGGTTTGCTGATAATTGATGCGGTAAAAAAGTATTGAGAAATCAAGTCTCAGTGTTTGTTTATTTTTAAACAAGACATTGTTCATGATTTAGGTACTGAAAGTTAGTATAGAGCTCGATTTCAATACTGTTTATAAACTTAATTTTTTTTATAAGGTATCAAAATGGAGAGAGATCTGAGCGTTCCTCATCATGTCAAAGCACTGGAGAGATTCCTCAACATATCACGTCTGCTCTCTGAAGTGGAAAATGTGATGGTGGATCCCGTACCCACTTTCAAATATTCTTGGTAAATCATGAGGGAATTGAGCTGATTTTGTAATTATCAAAATTATAAATTGAATCTGATAAGATTTCTTGCTCTCATTTCATTCATTTTACTTTCCCGATTTTTTCAAACGACAATTATTCCGTGTATCTTTCACAAATGGTTAGTTTATAAAACTATCAGTCATAAATTTATCTAACCGCTATTTTGTATTTGTAGTTGTGGTTAACAATATGAATTAACAGGAATGTTAACGACGAAAATACCTCGAATCCTGATTCATTGCTTCTTGATAGAGGTAGGGTTAAAGGATGAGGGGACCTTAGAAAAAGTTTTTTTCTCGTGCAAATCATATTATTACATTAATCGTATAAACCACTTTAGTGAAATCCGCAAAGTTGTATTTCATTCGCGCGCCGAGATATCCAGCCAAAACAATTTGAACCTGTGACGTCAATTATGTGAGTTGCTCTGATCCGCGCATATAGAAATACAGGTAAAATGAGCGTGCGGGCTGACTAAATTACTAATTAAGAATACATAAACAATTTACAATACTAACAAGCCTATAACCAATGGAGAGGAGACTTTTTATGACCGGTTGAAAAAAGAATTATCACCCTACGATAACCATGAGCCGAGATACACCTGAAATAAGATTGAAGTCACACAGAAAGGCATGTAAATTATGTATATTTATAGCTCCCAACGTAACACCTAGCAACTCCCTGTATCGTACCACAGTTGATATATCAACATGTCATATCAACACAACACGGTCCTAATAAAAACGGATCGGGTAGGTATGAAATGCATGTCTTCATTCCAGTTGGACAAGCATATGAAAATACATTCCTTTATTCTTGTATAAAGAAATATGCCGATTTTTAATTGTGTCCATATCGGGTTTCAAACAAGTCAAAACAAAATAGCAGTTTGTGGTTTAGTTAGCGGATGCTACTTATCTTAGCTATTTATAAATAGAAATACCTACTACAACTACAAGAAAGCCTTTCTGAGTTACATTTAACTATTAAAGAGAATTATTCGTAACTTAGACTAATTCAGTGCAACCAAAGATACCGCTCTCGCAAACGCCAAAGGTAACACGACGCAAGTAAAACAGGACAGGACAAAATGTTGACACGAGCGAAGGGTGTGCGCGCACGCACGTTGGTCTTACACATAATTGACGTCACAGCCCAAAATTGCTATCAGCCAATAGGAGCGCGGCGTGATATTGCACGAATTATCGATTTCACAGTCCGGCGTATTTTTTGATTCTACACACTTTCACAGGACTTAAACGCGAATATTTGAAAGTAAATTCTAAGGTCCCCTCATCCTTTAAAATATGAAATATTCACTAATAATTAATGATTATTCACAATTTAGGTTTATGCTCAATTCAAAATACGATTAAGAATTGTTAATTTAAATGGAGCTGTTGATTACGTCAGTGTGCATGTTATAGTTACATAATAATTATATCGCAAAACTGCACAGTTTTCCCAGAGTTTTTTGTATATAAAACACATGTTTTCTTCAGATCTGAAGCCTGACGAGAAGTTTATGTACGACACAAGTGAGCTAACTGAAGAGAACATGTGGCTAAAAGACATCCTCCTTTCAGACAGGTGCTGTCAACTTACCAGTTACCATGTGACACGTCATGTGACACGTCATGACGTCATGTGACCAGTGACACATGTCATGACGTCATGTGACATGTCATGTTTAGCGAATAAGCAATAAGTAGAAAGCTAGAGGTATCAGAGCTGCTTACTCCCCTTCCAGTAGGACTAAGTCACAAGACAGTGTCATTGAGAGGATCGTGTGACAATATTCTAACTTACACAGTGTTTATTTCAACTATTTAATTTTCTGTATTTATTAGTCAGATAACTTATAGTTCGCCTTTGCCCTTACAGAAGTAATCTCCTTAAAAAATCAATTTTAGTTTATTTTCATCGGTTTCGGACGTAGAGTGATGGAATTCGGCGAAATATTAAAATAATTCCCGAAATTTCAGTTCAGATAGCAGCGATGAAGAAGAGATGAGCGAGGAAGAAATGAAGCGGATGCTGAAGAAGCACAAGCAGATGAAGAAGATAAGAGAGAAAACACGACAACAATCTGTGAGAACTTTGTAAACATTTCATCTTCATAAGCTTATTATTTCCTACGAAGCCTAGTAATTAATTGCGGTAAAACCAAATTTTACTGCAGATTTTGGGAACAGCCGCGGTAAACCCTAATCAGGGTTCGCGGTAAATCGGGGTATTGTTTGTTTATATTATGGATATTAAGCCCTATTTGGGATAAGGGAATGACTACGCGGTAATGCCCGGTTTTACTGTACTAATTTGAGCTACCATTTTAACCCCTCAAACTGAGCTTGAGCCACTAGAATTTAAAAAGATATCATATTGCATCGGTAACTATTGGTAACTATTGGTAACTAACACTGGTTACCATGGTAACTAACACTCAATTTATCAGGGTACTTACTCCGGCTACAGTACGTCTATCCTTGCCTCGGACAACCCAGCTTTTCATTTCGGTAAATTAACTGTGCGAACCATGCAATTTGTGTAATTTACATTATCATTATAAAGTAAAATGTCATTTTAATGTAAATGTAAAGTTCGCTTTTCTAGTAAAACTATGAACATAAAAATGAACATAATAATGATTATAAATCTTAAATAAGATTATTGGTAAACAAGCTAACTGTTATAAATTTGTTTCTAATTCACCCTAACACTACAGAGTTCCCCTCACTCGACTACTCTAATAAGACGCGGAGAGAAAAGAGACCAGTTTGCAGGAAGAGACCCAGCAAGGAGGGGGAACCTCTCACAATCTCAGACATGATAGACGCGCTACATTCTCACTGTGTCAGTATACTCATTATCTTTTTATATCTAATGCTAATAATAATAGGCATCAACCTCATAAATACCTATTGTTCCCTCCGATTTCAAAATAGGTATAGGACATAGATATTTATGTATGTTTATGGTTATTTAAAAGTTTTGTTGTTTTTCAATTCTATTCATAGTGTTAGCTGTTTTAAAGTGTTTTACAGCCCTTGAATTTTTTCCCTAGAAAACACTTTTCCCTACGTTTCATGCTACCCTCATCATGCTATCATGATGAGCCTAAATCATTGTTATGATATCTAATCCGGCCAAGCACTTTCTAAACTACTTACTATTATAGCCAGATATTCGATCAATTTCTAAATTGTATCACTAACAGAGTGAAATTGAATTTGAATTAAAATTAAAATTGATATTATTCTAGAGGGTAAAAAACCAAACCCCCCGAATCTTTACCCCCGTATGCGATCTATGTTCCCGGATAGGACGGCGAGAGCACGTTTCCTTGATTTTTGTAGTGGATTTGTAGTGCTTTTCACCCCTGTAGTGCTTTTATGTTCCGGGGTAGGTGGGACATGTTTTAGTTTAAAAATGGGTTCTACCTGTCCCAAACCATCATAAAAATCAAGTTTCGACCTCTCAACCCACTCAGGCCACTCCCAGGGGCCACGCCCATCCCAAAATGACCGAAATCCAGCTAAAATCCAGACTTTAAAATCTTTACCCCTGTAGTGCTTTTATGTTCCGGGGTAGGTGGGACATGTTTTGGTTTAAAAATGGGTTCTACCTGTCCCAAACCATCATAAAAATCAAGTTTCGACCTCTCAACCCATTCAGGCCACTCCCAGGGGCCACGCCCATCCCAAAATGACCAAAATCCAGCTAAAATCCAGACTTTAAAATCTTTACCCCTGTAGTGCTTTTATGTTCCGGGGTAGGTGGGACATGTTTTAGTTTAAAAATGGGTTTTACCTGTCCCAAACCATCATAAAAATCAAGTTTCGACCTCTCAACCCACTCAGGCCACTCCCAGGGGCCACGCCCATCCCAAAATGACCGAAATCCAGCTAAAATCCAGACTTTAAAATCTTTACCCCTGTAGTGCTTTTATGTTCCGGGGTAGGTGGGACATGTTTTGGTTTAAAAATGGGTTCTACCTGTCCCAAACCATCATAAAAATCAAGTTTCGACCTCTCAACCCATTCAGGCCACTCCCAGGGGCCACGCCCATCCCAAAATGACCAAAATCCAGCTAAAATCCAGACTTTAAAATCTTTACCCATGTAGTGCTTTTATGTTCCGGGGTAGGTGGGACATGTTTTGGTTTTAAAATGGGTTCTACCTGTCCCTAACCATCATAAAAATCAAGTTTCGACCTCTCAACCCACTCAGGCCACTCTCAGGGGCCACGCCCATCCCAAAATGACCGAAATCCAGCTAAAATCCAGACTTTAAAATCTTTACCCCTGTAGTGCTTTTATGTTCCGGGGTAGGTGGGACATGTTTTGGTTTTAAAATGGGTTCTACCTGTCCCTAACCATCATAAAAATCAAGTTTCGACCTCTCAACCCACTCAGGCCACTCTCAGGGGCCACGCCCATCCCAAAATGACCAAAATCCAGCTAAAATCCAGACTTTAAAATCTTTACCCCTGTAGTGCTTTTATGTTCCGGGGTAGGTGGGACATGTTTTGGTTTTAAAATGGGTTCTACCTGTCCCTAACCATCATAAAAATCAAGTTTCGACCTCTCAACCCATTCAGGCCACTCCCAGGGGCCACGCCCATCTTAAAATGACCAAAATCCAGCTAAAATCCAGACTTTAAAATCTTTACCCCTGTAGTGCTTTTATGTTCCGGGGTAGGTGGGACATGTTTTGGTTTTAAAATGGGTTCTACCTGTCCCAAACCATCATAAAAATCAAGTTTCGACCTCTCAATCCACTCAGGCCACTCCCAGGGGCCACGCCCATCCCAAAATGACCAAAATCCAGCTAAAATCCAGACTTTAAAATCTTTACCCCTGTAGTGCTTTTATGGTCCGGGGTAGGTGGGACATGTTTTAGTTTTAAAATGGGTTCTACCTGTCCCAAACCATCATAAAAATCAAGTTTCGACCTCTCAACCCACTCAGGCCACTCCCAGGGGCCACGCCCATCCCAAAATGACCAAAATCCAGCTAAAATCCAGACTTTAAAATCTTTACCCCTGTAGTGCTTTTATGTTCCGGGGTAGGTGGGACATGTTTTAGTTTTAAAATGGGTTCTACCTGTCCCAAACTATCATAAAAATCAAGTTTTGACCTCTCAGCCCACTCAGGCCACTCCCAGGGGCCACGCCCAACCCAAAATGACCGAAATCCAGCTAAAATCCAGACTGTAAAATCTTTACCCCTGTAGTGCTTTTATGTTCCGGGGTAAAATCAAATCCAGACAGACAGAATGAGAATCTTTACACCTGTATGCTGTAAGGGATTTATGTTCCGGGGTATTCTTTTTGGTATGACTTACTATCACCACTCATTCGAGCAATATATTAAATCAAAGAATATTCATTTTCATTTTTTTTAATGAAGGTTCATGATCGCATTTATTTGATAGTTTTGATAATCAGATCGAGCCAGATTTTATAGGATTGTATTTGGCCATTCAAATTACGTTTGATCTGAAAAAAAATGAGAGTTGTAGCTTCTCAGATGACCGAGATACTCATACGAGGCATGACGAGTTTATCCATTACGTGTGATCAGGTGATTCGATTACCTGTACAGGTGATTAGATGGCCCCGTCAAATTGCAAGGGAACCCAATTAAGGTGACCTATCAGATAATCACCCAATCAATTTTGTTAACGAGATACATTAAATGCTTGATAACTTCGTCATTTCAAATACGTTTGGCCTCAATTTTTCAGATCAGATGCAACAATTAATTATCTGCAGTAATCTGAAATAAATGGGCGTCTAGCATGTCCGGAAAGAACAATATAGGTGATTTAATATTATATGGACGTAGTCTAAATATTCAAATTTTCGAGCATTGGCGACGAAATCCTCGAATGAGTAGTTAGCATGCCATCTGCAAAGTTGCAGGTCCATAATATGAAACACGGTGGTGGTATAAGAGTCTATATATATATATAATTAGTATATGAAACCAATCAGTATCACATCCACAACCTACCGAATGAAAGGTACGGACTTCAAAAAACCGAAAACTATATTTTTGGCTCAGAATGCAAATGATCAGGGTAGCATGAAACATGAACAAAAGTAATTTCTAGAAAAACTTTGAAAAATTTTGACTTAAACAATTTTCGGTCCGAGTTATTCTCGATACGTACCTCTGAAAGCTGAGCTCCTGCTTCCGAGCTAGTATTGCGAAGGGGAGGCCTGCCTTCCGAGATCGCATTACAAAGGGGATCCCTCGAGTCCAAAATCGTATATCGAACTTCGAAAACCGAAAAAAATATTTTTGGCTCCTAATGATCAGGGTAGCATGAAACATTCGGAACAAAATTAGTTTCCAAGAAAACTTTGAAAATCTTTGACTTAGAAAATTTTCGGTCCGAGTTATTCTCGATACGTACCTCTGAAAGCAGAGCTCCCGCTTCCGAGGTCGTATTGCGAAGGGGAGGCCTGCCTTCCGAAATCGCATTACAAAGGGGATCCCTCGATCGTATATCGAACTTCGAAAACCGAAAAAAATATTTTTGGCTCATAATGATCAGGGTAGCATGAAACATGAACAAAACTAGTTTCCAAGAAAACTTTGAAAATTTTGGACTTAGAAAATGTTCGGTCCGAGTCATTCTCGATACGTACCTCTGAAAGCAGAGCTCCCGCTTCCGAGCTCGTATTACGAAGGGGAGGCCTGCCTTCCGAGATCGTATTACAAAGGGGATCGGGGGATCCCTCGAGTCCAAAATCGTGTATCGAACTTCGAAAACCGAAAAAAAATATGTTTGGCTCAAAATGATCAGGGTAGCATAAAACATGAACAAAAGTAGTTTCCAAGAAAACTTTGAAAATCTTTGACTTAGAAAATTTTCGGTCCGAGTCATTCTCGATATCTTATCTTATCTTATCTTATGAGGATTCGTTGCGACGCAACAAGGCCATCGAATGAGTCGACCACCTTTGTTATTTTACTTCGGCATTACCTGCATTACAATGTAAACCAGCACTTTCAAGGAAGAGCTTTACAAGAAGCCGAAGGATCGTTCCTAAGGCCAGCAACGGTTAAGGCACTATGCCACACTTTCTTCGCCCGAGGCTTCGCTGTGTTGATCAAGCACAGCTCCTCATTTAACCCTCACACCCGATTTCTCGAGCATTCGGCTGAGTGAACCGTGGGGCTACATAGACCACTCGGGATCCTTAGCAGAGCGTCAACGACGCTCACCCCACGACTAGGCAGGCAGTGGGATTCGAACTCGCAATCTTACGATTACAAATCCGATGATCAACCAACTACGCTACCTGGCCGATACGTACCTCTGAAAGCAGAGCTCCCGCTTCCGAGGTCGTATTGCGAAGGGGAGGCCTGCCTTACGAGATCGCATTACAAAGGGGATCCCTCGATCGTATATCGAACTTCGAAAACCGAAAAAAATATTTTTGGCTCATAATGATCAGGGTAGCATGAAACATGAACAAAACTAGTTTCCAAGAAAACTTTGAAAATTTTTGACTGAAAAGATTTTTGACTTAAAAATGTTCGGAAAAAAATTGTTTTTCCCAAAAATTTTTAGAAACCTATATTAAAAAGTTGGCCCTTTTTGGCCACTTCCCCAGATTTCATGGGGGGCGATGGCACCCCCTGCCCCCCGCTTCCTACACCCCTGTATAAGACTCAACGTATGTAACGTTAGTTTTGCCCCACCCCACTTCCTGTAGCTTTTCTGGGTTAGGCGTGGCCCCTGAGAGTGGCCTGAGTGGGTTGAGAGGTCGAAACTTGATTTTTATGATGGTTTGGGACAGGTAAAACCCATTTTTAAACTGAAACATGTCCCACCTACCCCGGAACATAAAAGCACTACAGGGGCCGGGTAAAGATTTTAAAGTCTGGATTTTAGCTGGATTTCGGTCATTTTGGGATGGGCGTGGCCCCTGGGAGTGGCCTGAGTGGGTTGTGAGGTCAAAACTTGATTTTTATGATGGTTTGGGACAGGTAAAACCCATTTTTAAACTGAAACATGTCCCACCTACCCCGGAACATAAAAGCACTACAGGGGTAAAGATTTTAAAGTCTGGATTTTAGCTGGATTTCGGTCATTTTGGGATGGGCGTGGCCCCTGGGAGTGGCCTGAGTGGGTTGAGAGATCGAAACTTGATTTTTATGATGGTTTGGGACAGGTAGAACCCATTTTTAAACTAAAACATGTCCCACCTACCCCGGAACATAAAAGCACTACAGGGGTAAAGATTTTAAAGTCTGGATTTTAGCTGGATTTCGGTCATTTTGGGATGGGCGTGGCCCCTGGGAGTGGCCTGAGTGGGTTGAGAGGTCGAAACTTGATTTTTATGATGGTTTGGGACAGGTAGAACCCATTTTTAAACTAAAACATGTTTCACCTACCCCGGAACATAAAAGCACTACAGGGGTAAAGATTCTCGATCTGGATTTTACGAGGATTTCAGTCATTTTGGGATTGGCATGGCTTCTAAGAATGGCTTGAGTGGTTCAAGAGCTTAAAACTTGGTCTTTGTAATGGTTAGGGATATGTACTCTCTATTTAACCACCAATCATGTTTCAAATATACAGCAACACAAATCCCCTTCAGGGCCCAGGGGTAAAGATTCTCATTCTGGATTTTTAGGGATTTGTCACAGATTTCAAGCTATTTGGGATGGGCGGCCTGAGTGGGGTTGATGTGTTACTTAGATTTTCATATCTTATAAGTGTATATAAAAGTATAAGTACGAGCAGTTTATTGAGACTTCTGACTTCTACCGTCGCGTCGTAGATTCTGCAATGATAAATATTGTAACGTACGTGAGGCGCGCAAAATCCACTACAAAATCCACTACAAAATTCAGGAGGCGATGTTTTCGCTGAATTTGTATCGTATTTGTATCATGCCCCCATTTCTTGCCCCCACGTTGTATCGTCTGCCCCCATCATGATCTGACCGTGCCAATCTAATTAAGTTTCCTTGGTGATACGATTTCTTGCTCGGTCGGATATACGTAATCGAATTATGCATACCAGTGACTGTAGTCCATAGGTCCACAGGTTAGTGCAAACAACAATACAAACCGTGAAATAAACCATCTTGAAACCATTTATTCTGTTATACTGTAATACTGTTAGTGGAATAGTAGAAAGGACGATAAGAACCGCAAGACAAACCATCAAGAAACCATAAACTAAGATGTAATGCAATGTAAGGTGGTTTTCAGTAGTTTTATCAGTGCAAGTATTCTGTAATACTGTTAGTAGTTACTGGAGTAGTGTGAACAACAATATAAACTATCAAATAAACCATTTGGAAACCATTTTAGGGTTTTTTTGATCGAATGTATCGTAATTAAAATTTCTGCCCCCATTTACTAAGATGTAATGTAAGGTGGTTTTCAGTAGTTTTATCAGTGCAAGTATTCTGTAATACTGTTAGTAGTTACTGGAGTAGTGTGAACAACAATATAAACTATCAAATAAACCATTTGGAAACCATTTTAGGGTTTTTTTGATCGAATGTATCGTAATTAATATTTCTGCCCCCATTTACTAAGATGTAATGTAAGGTGGTTTTCAGTAGTTTTATCAGTGCAAGTATTCTGTAATACTGTTAGTAGTTACTGGAGTAGTGTGAACAACAGTATAAACTATCAAATAAACCATTTGGAAACCATTTTAGGGTTTTTTTGATCGAATGTATCGTAATTAAAATTTCTGCCCCCATTTACTAAGATGTAATGTAAGGTGGTTTTCAGTAGTTTTATCAGTGCAAGTATTCTGTAATACTGTTAGTAGTTACTGGAGTAGTGTGAACAACAATATAAACTATCAAATAAACCATTTGGAAACCATTGTAGGGTTTTTTTGATCGAATGTATCGTAATTAAAATTTCTGCCCCCATTTACTAAGATGTAATATAAGGTGGTTTTCAGTAGTTTTATCAGTGCAACTATTCTGTAATACTGTTAGTAGTTACTGGACTAGTGTGGACAACAATATAAAGTATCAAATAAACCATTTGGTTTATATTAGTATTAATAAACAGAATACTTGCACTGATTACGATACATTCGATCAAAAAAACCCTAAAATGTTTTCCAAATGGTTTATTTGATAGTTTACCTTGTTGTTCACACTACTCCAGTAATATCTAACAGTGTTACAGAATACTTGCACTGATAAAACCACTGAAAACCACCTTACATTACATCTTAGTAAATGGGGGCAGAAATTTTAATTACGATACATTCGATCAAAAAAACTCTAAAATGGTTTCCAAATGGTTTATTTGATAGTTTATATTGTTGTTCACACTACTCCAGTAACTACTAACAGTATTACAGAATAGTTGCACTGATAGAAATACTGAAAACCACCTTACATTACATCTTAGTAAATGGGGGCAGAAATTTTAATTACGATACATTCGATCAAAAAAACCCTAAAATGGTTTCCAAATGGTTTATTTGATAGTTTATACTGTTGTTCACACTACTCCAGTAACTACTAACAGTATTACAGAATACTTGCACTGATAAAACTACTGAAAACCACCTTACATTACATCTTAGCAAATGGGGGCAACAAAATTAATTACGATACATTCGATCAAAAAAACTCTAAAATGGTTTCCAAATGGTTTATTCGATAGTTTATATTGTTGTTCACACTACTCCAGTAACTACTAACAGTATTACAGAATACTTGCACTGATAAAAATACTGAAAATCACCTTACATTACATCTTAGTAAATGGGGGCAGAAATTTTAATTACGATACATTCGATCAAAAAAACCCTAAAATGGTTTCCAAATGGTTTATTTGATAGTTTATATTGTTGTTCACACTACTCCAGTAACTACTAACAGTATTACAGAATACTTGCACTGATAAAAATACTGAAAATCACCTTACATTACATCTTACTAAATGGGGGCAGAAATTTTAATTACGTTATGGTGAAATAAACCATAAAATAATCTTTACAACTACTCCATTAACAACTAAAAGTATTTCAAAACAAATGCACTAACTTAACCACCTCAAACCACCTTATATTGAATTATGTACATTATATTAAAGTATTAAGGCGATTTCCTTTGTCAAAATTTGGAGAATTTGATGGCGGATACAGGCCCGACTATACTTCAATACCCCGAACACATTCAGGTATCATCTAATCATCTGTGAATTAATTAAATTAGGGTGTGAAGCTGTGGTGAGATATTGAACTAGTATAGGGCGTGAACTATCCTAAAATATAATATAAACCAAATGTTGTAGGGAACGCGCATGCGCAACCTATATATGAAGGCAGATTCAGGATGGGGGCAACGATACAACTCAGTGAAAACATCCTCTGAAATTCAGGGAAACGTCTTCTGGAGACGGCAAACGCGACGACGATTCAAAACATTGTAGATGCAATAGCGCGCTTACATCAATTAGGGCGCGCGCGCCAACATTTACTCAACTTGATTAATCGATCGGCCGAACTATTACTGTATTACGTCCAGTATCTCCCCACTTCTGGGACATTAGTCTTAATCACTAATCAGTAGTCAATAACTACACCGAGTTTATGCAATGAAAATGAAATGATGGCGTCTGGACCTCTCAGACAACCTTAAAAGCCTCATAATTCCCAAAGAATATGGGGCCATCATGAACTCATTCCATGCAAAAGAATTTGGAAATTACCTCACAGACTCCTCACACCTTTGAAATCCTCCAAAGAAGAAGTCCTAGTCATCACTTCACGTCCCCTACTTATCTTCATGAACGTCGCATCAATGATCAACCTATCATGGTCTCTAACTCATCTCCATGGACTTGCTTTTATGCACATCTCCAGAATTTCAGTTCTGATCGTCTTTATGAATTGATGTAAGACGAGCTCGTTAGTCTTCTCCTTGGTCATTTCATGTTAAATTCTGTTTAATAGTTTAATTCCTGTTTAATTCATGTTATGCTAAAACACATGGTGTATAAATTATCTAAATTAACTATAAGTATACATTTTCCCCAAATATTGAAATACTTGTCAACAAATATTTCTAAACGTTAGCGCAAGGCAGCAATATCGAAACTTTGTATTTTAAGCTTACGAACGAAACTTTTACGCTTTACAGTCTGATACAAAACCATTAAAAGCTAGCTATTAATACGAGCTAAACGAACTAACTGACTTCAATAAGTAACTTTAAGATTAAACTATTAAATCGGGGAGTGAAAATAAATGACAATTGAGATTCAAGATTGGTGCACTGTTTTGATCAACCACTTAATCACTACAAATTTGTGGTTTTTAAGTGTTTTTAAACATCCAAAATAAAGTATATTCACGTAAAACTTTCAGGTATCAGAAGAAACGGGAATTACACCCCCGCAACTGTGAGTAGTTAAAAACTTTAAACAAATAACATAAACTAGTCTATGTAATAACTTAAATTAGTCTATGTAATATAATATAATAAGCGCCATGAGTTGGCATAGATTTTTTCCCCTGCTATTGCCGAAATACTGAAATTTCCCGTAAAGTTTATTTGTTAAGCTGGGAATAATGGGAAAGATATTTGTTTTTATTTACTTTCTCCGCTGAATATTAGTTCTTCGTGCTTAAATCCATTAACTGTTAACGAATGAGTATTATAATACCTATTTTATAGAAAAACTCTGTGGTAAATGTATCATTGAAAATCTCCTGAACAATAACAAACCATGACAGGTTGATTGAGTGTGATGGACCGTGTCTGAAGAAACCCAGGTACTCCCGCACCACCTCACAAATATGGAGAGAAGCTATCGGTCAGGTGGTCAAAAAAGCTGAGGAGCGACTCTCGAGACTCGACCAGCAGCAATCCTCCACATCCATGGTTCTTATTTCATGTAACATTGGCTAAGTGCAGTAATACCCCGATTTTCCTCAAACCCCGATTTACCGCGGCTTTTCCTTTCTCCCTATAAAAAAACTCCGCTTATAGTCATAACTCCGCTATATATCGGGGTTTACTGTACATCATTGTCATGATATCTTGTTGTGTTTTATTTTTGGTTCAAATGCAAATTTTCAGTAGATCCCCAGACTTGATATACTTCCCAATTTGATCATTAACTGGAAATTAATTATCTTTCAGTTGTGTGACGAGATAAAGCTGAAGTCTGAAGATCTCCTCCAAAATCTGAAACACACAAACACATTGAATCAAGCAGATCGAGTTTCGTCAAACTCTGAGAAGCAGTTTGAAGAAGCCAAAGTCCCCACACCCGATGCAGATGGCGACTTAAACCTGGAGAAGAAATCGCAAGAACTGCAAGCATCTGTCAAAATCGAATCCGATTTAAATGCGCTTGATAATATTAATTCATCGAGTAAAGTTGTCGAAATAGAAAATGTTGAACAAGTTAATGATAATGCTATTGAATCTAATGGAAAAAGTTCAAGATGATCAAATTTGACAATTCTGACAAATTTTGTCGATGTCTGACAGTTTTTGTCGATTCACAACACATTCCTATCCCATATATTTTTTGGAATTTCCTGCCCCAATGGCCAATTGCAATAGATCATTGATCTAAGATTAAGAACACATACAGGAATTTAAATGTTCTCTTCGATATTCCTGCCAAATAAACAACATACGGGATATTAAAAGCAGTAAAATTGGGCCGAGTTTATAAATTATTAACTTCGGCGGCGTTTATTGCATGAGCTTAGGGGCCATCTACTTAGGACGTCCGGTAAATAAGGAGGGGGTGGTTTTGGAATTTCGGACAGGGGGACTGGGGAGGGGGTGGTTTCTGAAAATCTGGACGTCCGGAAATTTTGGCAGAATTAACGAAGAAGTCTCATTTATTTCAACTCTTTGACACTAATTATTCTGTAAGTTTAGATCCCCCCGACAATTGACCCCCCGACAATTGACCCTAACCCAAACCCTAACCCTAGCCCAAACCCTAAATCTAACCCTAACCTTGTCGGGGGGTCAATTGTCGTATTAAGGCCTAGATTTCGCGACAATTGACCCCAGTGTAATTACATAGGGGGTCAATTGTCGCGGTACGGTGTGGTAAAGGCGTTGTGGCTCCATTATTACGTAAATAAGCATGCTTTTTCAACAGTCTCAATAGACACTTAGCTTTTACGCTGCTTCACTGTCACACGTTCATAGTCTTTACCGCATGCCGCCACACTTTGCTACCATTCACCGTGCAGCATAATATCCCCTAGAGTTCTAGAGAAAGGGTATAACTATAATTCTGTAAGTGGATAGCTCTTACGTTTCTCAATCTTTGTATTTCTTACTGGTTCTGCTAGTAATATAACTGGTAGGGTGCATGGAGTAAGTTTAATACCCCTTATAAAACCCTTTACCGAGACATAAACGTGCTATTTACTAAAATCTACATTAGCTTGATTGGATCCCTTAAAGTTAAACAGCAATATTTATTTGTACTATTTCTTAGTACTTCCACAGAATAAAATAGAAATTCTGGATGTCCAATAAAATAACTCTGTCGCGGGAGCCGTTAAAGAGAGCTAATCTGTTTTCAATTGTATGCCTCCTCGACGTAGACCCGTCTTGTATCACGTTGCGACCCCCACGGTCGTTTCACTATGGTGACGATACAGGGAGAGCCGCGCACTTCGTGCGCGGCGGGTCTTACAACGTATGACAAGACCCGTCCGTTGTGTTCGAATATTGTTATTTTTCTTGCCGTTATCCGTGCTAGTTTCGCCTGAACCAGCGGCATCCTTAGGGCTTAGTATAATAAGAAGTGTCCGCTGTACAGCTCACATTCCATGTATGAAATAGGTTTATAATTTCATGCTTGATTTTGCAATTCACACTTGATTGTTATTTCTCGATCAAAATTGAACGGGAAATCGTTTAAAATCACTTTTATTTTTAATGCACTTGGACAAAAGCTTAAGCTACTTACGCTAATGTGCATTTCATGGAGGAATTAAAGACAGAAAAGTTTTTAAGTTTTTTAAACAATTATTTGATACATGTTTCGGCGGCGCGCGCGAAAAGTGGCATGCAACGTATGTCAAACAATTATCAATTATGAAGCTAAACAAGACCGATCGTCTGCTATTATCTGAATAATATGCACACAGTATTTGACAGATGTAACTCGTCTAAATTTTTACTGGGCGGCGCTCAGCCTGTCATTCCGCCGAATCTCTATTCGTTTGTTTATGAATATAATAGACGCTACAGGGGGAGCCGCGCACTTCGTGCGCGGCGGGTCATACAACGTATGACAAGAGGTCCCCAGGTAACTAAATTTCTTCGAAGTAACGCGCGTCGCTTTCTTCTCGAAATGATAGATGCAATTGCATTGACCATTGTTAATGGTCTGGCCCGACGCGCGCTACTTCGTAGCACTGGCCATCGGGCCATTTCGAGAAGAAAGCGGCGCGCGCTACTTCAAAAAAATTTAGACGAGTAACATCCGTCAAGTCAAATAAAACACAGTATATCTATCATGGCGCAGTTTATATCGCCGCCAAAAGCACACTCCCCAAATTGCGCGCATTGCTGTAACTTCTTTCAAACTTCATGAATCGAGATAAATTATTTTGGAATGTATTCAGATTTAACATATGCACTAATACAAATCACTTGGAATACTTTTGAAAGAAAATAACATGCTCAAAAACGCTACTGACGTATTTGTCCATAAAAAGCACAATAGCTAATAATCTTTTGTCAAGGTGCCTCTAAAGTGTTTTTAAACGATTCCCCGTTTAATTTTAGTCTAGGACCGCCAACTAATTGCATAATCAAGCAAGTTATAGACATATTTCATTCATATCAAATTGGGTGTGCTTTTGGCGGAGACATAACGTGCAACTTAATTGACGATGTCAATTCATCTCAGCTCGGCGCGGCACAGTAGCGCATCTCGCCGATCTAGAGTGAGAAGCCTCATTGAGTGCGCGGCGCGGCACAGTAACGCATCGCGCTACAACGTGCGCCGTCTATCATAGCGTCATTTTGGAGCAGTTATGGGGACTGTCGACTGATGACTTGTGAAAACAATTTTATTGATGCAAAAGTGAGATCATGATCATGGACGAAGGTTATATTTGTTCGTTGTAGTTGACAAATCTTTGTTGTTTGTAGCACGTCGTGACAGTTGACATCCACGGTCGTTCTTCATTCTTACGATACACAATACAGAGGAGCCACACACGAGTGCTCGGCGGGTCATACCAATACAACGTACGCGTGTGGCAAGAAGCATACAGTAACGAGTTCAAAACATGTGCCAGAGTCCGCACCCGCTCAGTTGGATCCCAAAAATTAATTCCTTAGTTAATTGACGATGTCAATTCATGGCAGCTCGGCGCGGCACAGTAGCGCATTTCGCCGATCTAGCCGATGTCGCTGTGAGAAGCCTCATTGAGTGCGCGGCGCGGCACAGTAACGCATCGCGCTACAAATTCCTTAGATGTTGTATAGTAATTAATGAAAGAAAAACAAACATTTTATTTACCACAAAACAATTAATGCATATTATGTTCAATGTTATATTTATAGATAAAGTTGAAAATTCAACCATATAGACACAGCCCACTGCGTGCGCACACAGCCACACACTGTTGAGTAATCCTCAGGTGCGGGCGTAAGTGCCGCGCGCAGGGTCTATTTTACTGGGCCGCGCTCAGCCTGTCATTCCGCCTAATCTCTATTACCAACATTAAAGCCCCTTTTGTCTGGTTCCGGGCAAAAGACCAGGTAGCTTCGATGAGGCCTGGCATGTGGGTCTGGATGTGCTGGTTGGCGGTTCCCGGTGTGGTGTGTGCTGAGACTGGGGTGGATGGCTGAAACCAGGGGACCGCTGGGCTGGGTGGCGAAGCTGGTGGTCGTAACGGAGGCAGTCCACATTGAGCACCCAAGCGACGAAAGTCGCTAGGTAGCTCGTGGGGATAGCATCCGGGTCGATAGCTGGCGGCGTTGTCTTAGCATGGCGTGCCACTGGGTGTAGGCACTCTGTTCTGGGCTCGCATGCATCGCGTCAGGGGGCTTGTCGGCTGGGGCGTCTGTCACACGTGTAGGTACTTATTGATTTAAAGTACAGCGGCAGAGTCAATCCTGAGCACTAGAGCACCACCTATGACTCTGCCCATTTGCTCTGGAGTTACTGCCCAGGACCCAATCCTATCCTGTTTCTCTCACCTATAGTGATTGGTAATGGTGCTTTATCCAAAGCAAATGACCTTGCCGTGGTAAGGGGGCTTAATCGGTATCACAAGACCAGCCGAGACTAAGCTGTACTGTTCAGCTGAGCAAAACTGAACGTAGGTCGCACGTGCCAACCGTCTTCCTTTACCTCATTTGATCCCTTTTTCTTTTGGAGCTCTCACAGCGTTCACTCACACCTGAGCATATAGGGTTTTAGAAGTTCAGGGTGTGTACTTCAAGGTCGGGCCCTTAATACCGATCATTAGCACCCGTTTTACCTTTACCTTATTAGCGGCATATCATTACTGTCGCGGTAGTAAAACAAACATCTTTCTACGATTCGCAGAAAGTGTTAAAACTCTCACTAATACACTTGGACTACAACACCGGATTACCAGTGGAGGAGGCTGGACTGAGCTGGCCTCGTGTGGGATTGGCACACTTGCGCAGGCTTCACAGCCTTGCTGCGATGGTGCTGGTTCCTATCGGGGCTGTGCTCGTTCAGCAACCACCAAGGAATCCACCACTACTACACCTACACTACAACACCGGATTACCAGTGGAGGAGGCGGGACTGAGCCGGCCTCGTGTGGGATTGGCACACTTGCGCAGGCTTCACAGCCTTGCTGCGATGGTGCTGGTTCCTATCGGGGCTGTGCTCGTTCAGCAACCACCAAGGAATCCACCACTACTACACCTACACTACAACACCGGATTACCAGTGGAGGAGGCGGGACTGAGCCGGCCTCGTGTGGGATTGGCACACTTGCACAGGCTTCACAGCCTTGTTGCGAGGGTGCTGGTTTCAATCGGGGCTGTGCTCGTTCAGCAACCACCAAGGAATCCACCACTATTACCCCTATACTACAACTCCGGATTTACAAAACAATCATGACTGATAGCGGTAATGAGATGTATCAACTGCGTAACACAGATGAGACATTGATTTTCGCAGAGCGGATCAGGTTTCCTGATTTACGCTTAACATCAGACATTATTGTGATTAAAGGACCTATTTCAACAACATTGCGCGGGAACGCGCACATAATCTCCCATATACTGATAACAACATTATCTATCAATCCTACCCCACCGTGGAATAGGATACAGATCACCAACATCTGGGAGGCAGTGGCTGTGCAGCTACATGAAGGTGGGGGCCCGTCGACGGAGTTTAAACAGAGGCAGCGGATCTGGGTGGATGTCTCACCTTCGGGTGAGACATTCTTAGAGAAACACAGTTTTCTCCCGGAGACGCTGGTTGCTGCTATTCGACTTCGACCAGCCCCCCGACACAGTGCCCAATCCAAAAGGTCCTAGTACCCGTCCGGTGAGGGTAACTGCAGGTGCTGCACGCCACGTCCCCAATACCAAAAAAACAGGTAAAACTCATCATGAATATTACTCTGTTACTCAAATCAACCTTATATATTAAACGCAAGTACAACGCTTGGAAAACCCTGCTGGTGAACACTCATGGCAGGAAAAATCCTATT